ATAAAAATTCCTAGAGAAAATATTAAATATTAACTGGCTCACCTAACACTGAATACTTACTCAAAATGAAAGACTATGCTTAGGGTCAGGGATCTTTGGCGCAAGAGAACTTCTTCAGAGATTTTATTCAAGGTCCATGGAGGAATGGATCAGAGGCAGTCTAAACTGAGTCACAAGGTAGGAGACAGTAAAGAGGTGGCTACAATGCACTCCTTCTAAGAACAGTTTAAGATTTTGCCTAGGGCCCTAGACTTCAGAGGTGTAACAAAACAGTAAAAATATATGACTTTTTATTGTATGTAAATGGTTTAATTTTGGATGGCATTGAAAGGTGGTAAAAAAAGAAATGACAAATCCCCAATTTTAGCATAGTTAAGAACATTCCGGAATCTAAGAGTCAATGCTCAATGAAACGAAGTACTACTGAAAACCTGCATGCCACAGGACAATCTAGGAAGCAAATACAGTCTCTTCACTTATAAACAAAATCAGTAGTAGTATTAACAGAGCAGTGTGGGTTTGAAGATTAGGAAGTATTCTCAATTCTAGATAAGTGAGAAGGCAAATGAAAAACCTAAAACTCCTCCAAATCACGTTATCAGTGTAAAACGTGATAATAGCTTGGCATCTAAAAATGATACAGGAGGGATATACATGCATTTGGGGCTCTGTAAAGAACCTTAACCATTAAGAACTTGTGCACGAATAAAAATTCTGTGTACGGAAAACCCACAGGCACACACACACAAGCACAACCCATGAGATGGGGTAAGGCAGCCGGTATGTGCTGTACACCTAGGTGCCAGACACTAGAGCAAGCCTTTACAGCATCTCATCAAGCTCTTGCAAGGCAGTCATACCACCTAATGAGCATGACACCGTACACAGAGATCTTTCCTGGGATTGCATGGTTAACGACAAACTAAAATAAGTACTTTTGGTTCACTGGGAGAAATAGATTAAAAACAGATCGACTCTACTACTCTTTCACATTCACTAAACCCAACTTTATCTACTACATTCAGATTGGAGTTACTCAGCCTTTGTGTGACCTCACTGGCAACAGGCCACATTTTTTAAGAACCCTTTGTTTTGAACTCAACACCAAGTAGTAACTGTTTTTAGTATTCAGTGTGTCCCAGTTTAGATAGCTCAGTTGAATAAGTACTTGCCTGTCAAGTGCAAGGGCCTGAGTTCAATCCCTGGTTCTGCAAAAACCAATCAACCCACCAACCCACCCACCCATCCACCAACCAGACAAGTTTAATTTTTCAAAGATTTTAGGAGGAACCACCCGCTCAGGCCTTTCTTTCCCTCAATAAATGTATTTTGCTCATAACCTCCATTTGTTCCTAAAATTCATTCTTCGGTTTTGGAGAAGAATGAATGTGCACGAATATGGACCTCGTCCAGGTCAGGTCAGATCATTTTTCCCTGTCATTTGGAGGTTCCCTATATTGTTTGGAGGTCACCCACCCGAGATCAGTTTTTCTCCCTGTATCATTTTGGAGGCTTCCACCGAGATCATTGGATGGAGGTATGAGTTTGCTTTTCTTTCATAAATTCTGGATTGAGACTTGCTTAGGTAACAAATTTTTACCACAGTTTCGTCCCAACCCACATCAAGTGAGTTCCCCCTTTCTCTACTTTAGCCCCGCATGGTTTTACACTATAAAAGTCCCTAGAAGAGACAGCTTTCCGCTCGGAACCCCCTCCTGTCCATCTCTTGGACAGGAGCTTTCTTTCCCTTAATAAATATATTCTGCTTATAACCTCAAAAAAAAAAAAAAAAGATTTTAAAGTACAAAGACCTTTCCTCTTCTAAACTGAGGTCTTCAACCATTTATCCAGTTACTGTAAATATTATTCTGGTACATTTTATTTGGTTAAACATTTAGAAACACATACATATATATCTTGTGTATTCACGACATCCCACAGTATCTTGTACTTTAAGCACTCAGTTAATTCAATGTGGCTGGAAAGAAAGTGTTTATTGATCATCCATTTAATGCTAATGTCCCAGCCTTCTGGATATCATAAATACCAAGACCCCTAAGACTAAAATGACTTTCCTCAGCATCACCACTGCTGGTCATTCCCTTTCCCTTCCTTGACAGCGCTTCAATGGTTTCCCCTCCTTTCCTCATTTGTTTTGTTTGTGTTGGAGAACAGATGGATGTCACTGGGCACAGTGTGGAAGAACCTCCATGGCCAAAGGCGGAACAACGAGCAACAACTATAAATGAATACTTACGGATATAAACAGCAAAAAGGGTTTTTAATCATCCCCATTAGGTATAGACATCCATTTCCAACAAGAGGTGGTGCTTAATTCTCCCAATTTCACAGTGGTAGAGCACAATAAATAAATCTTGCTTCAAAATTAAAACAAAAATATTAACTACAATGGTAATTCAGGCAAAGCCTACCGTACCCAGATCCTGAAGGTTACCATCCCCATAGATGTGGATATGATGTGTCACTCACAGGTTAGACAGGTACCCTCACCCGGGTTTGTTTAAAAAACCCACTGGCTTAGGGTAGTAATGAGGAAAAGTACAGTAAAGTCTAGTGTGGAATAGGGACAGCCTACAGGACATGTGGACAGTCCAAGCTACCAAAAGTAAGGTAAGAATGAAAAAGAGAATACAAATTAGAGCAGTGTGGTACTCCAGACCTAGATCTTGGAATAGATTAATGGGAAAAACAACACAAAGTCAAATAAAATCTGGAGTGGAGTTAGTATACTAACCATAGCTTCTTAGTTTTGGAAAATATAGCAACAGAAGATGGTAACAGTAGAAATGGTGGAGGGAGGTATTTTGGGACCTCTCTTCCCTACGTTTGCAACTTTTCTAGGGTATATACTTTGTAATAACTGAAGTTTCAGCTTCTTTACCAAGTTATTAGATTAAAATATCTGAACTGGCTTAACAATGTCATACTTATTTCACAAAGACTTTTGTTCTTATTAGCTGTAACACTGTAAAGTGTCATCAAACATGAGTCAAATCCCAATTAGCTCACCTGCAGGCAGGCCGCAAAGTGTTCAATTATCTGACAGTTCAATCTAATTTGTCTTGCAATTGTGCAAGGGTGGTCTTATGTTTACTGAGCTTATTCTCAACTTGGGTACTTATTATCTGATATCATCCAATACTGGTCAGATGAAATGCTTCCAAGGGGAACCTTGCGAAAATTTCAGTTAAATAGCTGTCGGCTATCACAATAAAGTGCCAATTCAAGAGCAACTCAGGAAGCAAATTAAGATATTTCATTCACCACAATGCATAGGTGTGTACTGTTCCAGTGGGAAATACTCAACTGAGTCACAACTGAAAAGTTTGAGTACTCAAGGTTATGCAATGATCATAGCTTTCAACGTTTCAAACCAAGCATTCATACACAAAAAGCGAAGAGGTTAGACAATTCGAAGGAAAACTGAAATTAGGTAGGCACAGTAGGTCACATCTTAAAAATCTCTAGTTTATTTCTAATAAACACCACTTGATACTTGACTCACAGACTTTATTTACATTTTTCTACAGCATCATTTCCTTA